TGAGGTTGGTTCGGCATGATTTGTTTTTGTGTCATGGGGCCACAAAGAAGAATGTTCTTCCAATATATTAAGGACCTATTTCTATAGATTAGAGACAGGCATGTGAATTTTTCCTGTTCTCATTTCTTTGCACCCAAAGCAAAGACACGAATGGTGTGTTTACACACAGGCTAGTGCATCCATGTTAATAAAGAAGGTCTTGCAGGGATGAGTTGGCCTAAAGCTTTATCATTTTCATACAAATTTTTGGTAGAAAATTTACACCTGGGGTAGTACTTCAAGTATTTCACTTAGATCAGATGTAGAGCACCTTTGAGCTGCAGCTCTCGAAGCACCCGGCAAACCGTTATACCGCAGCATAGCTTGACTAAGGCTAAAAAGCAGATCAGTGGCAAAGATGGAAATAGAACACAGGAGCTCCTAACTCCTAGCCCCTTGCTCTACCCACTTGGACTAGAGATTCTCAAATACCAGGCCTGCCTGAGGCATATATAGGGCCCACATGGAATCTTCAGGCTGCAGAATCCGCTTTCTGAAGCACCATCCCAAACTGATGCGTCGATAGAAGAGGTTTGTTTAGTTTATACTTGTTTTATTTAAAACAAACAGTTATAAGTCACCGGGACCAAATGGTATTCACCCAAGAGTTCTGAAGGAACCGAAATATGAAATTGAGTAACTGTAATGTGTAACCTATCCCTGAAATCAGCCTCTGTACCTGATGGACTGGAATGCCAAATTTTTAAAAGGAGCTCCAGAGGAGATCTTGGCAACTGTAGGCCAGTGAGCCAGAATTAAGTACCGGACAAATTGGTAGAAACGACAGTAAAGATCGGAATGATCAGACACACAGATAAACACAATATGTTGGGGAAGAGTCAACATGGCTTTTGTAAAGGGAAGACGTGCCTCACCTATTTATTAGAATTATTTGAGGGGAATCAAGAAGCCTGTAGATAAGGGTGATCCAGTTGATACAGCATATGTGGATTTTCAGAAAGTCTTTGACAAGGTCCCTCACTAAAGGCTCTTAAGGAAATTAAGCAGCCATGGGATAAGAGAGACGGTCCTCTCATGAATCAGTTACTGGTTAAAAGGCAGGAAACAAAGGGTAGGAATAAATCATCATTTTTCACAATGAAGAGAGGTGAACAGTAGGGTCCCCCAAGGATCTGTACTGGGACCTCTGCTGTTCAACAGATTCATTAACGATCTGGAAAAGGGGATGCGAACAGTGAAGTGGCAAAGTTTGCAGAAGAAACAAAATTATTCAAAACAGTTGAATCCAAAGCAGACTACAAGGCGTTAGAGGAATCTCACAAAACTGGGTGTCTGGGGAACAAAATGGCAGATGAAATTCAACATTGATAAATGCAAAGTAAAGCACATTGGAAAATATAATTCCAACTCTACCTATACAATGTTGAGTTCTAAATTAGCTGTTACCACCCAAGAACAAGATCTTGGAGTGACTGTGGATAGTTCTCGGAAAACTTCCACTCAATGTGCAGCAGCGGTCGAAAAGGGCTAAGCATTTCACAGAAAGAATATAGTGGAACTGGAAACAGTTCAGAGAAATGCCATGAAGATGATCAAGGGTATGGAATCCTAGGAAATAGGTGACTAATGGGGGATCTGATAGAGGTCTCTGATATCATGAATGGTGTAGAAACAAGTTATGAGAGAAGTGTTATTTACCTTTTCCCCACAACACAAAAGCCAGGGATCACCCACTGAGGTAGCAGGGTTAATGCATACAAGAAGTACTTTTTTAAAAGAACATACAACTAACCTGTGGAACTCATTGCCATAGCGTGTTGTGATGGCCAAAGTGTAACTGGGTTCAAAAAAGAACTGCGTAAGTTCAAGGAGGATAGGTCCATCAATGACTATTAGTCAAGATACCCAGGGATGCAACCCCATACCTCTGACTACCAGAAGCCAGGAGTGGGTGGATCATTCCATAACTGCTCTGTTCTGTACACTCCTCCTGAAGATCTGGTACAGGTCACTGTTGAAGACAAGATACTGGGCAAGATGGACCATGGTCTGACCCAGTACGGCAGCTCTTACGTTCTTATTACATCTTCAGTCTGCAGAATCTGAGCTTCCATGTCAATAAAAAAAAGTTTCTAGCCCTCATGTGAAGTTAACCATCGCAATGGAACACAAGTGTCACTGATGCAGTGGTGTCTTCCTGAGTCTGTAGAGAGCCTGAAACAACGGCTCTGGGAGGCACAAACTCCCCTATCCCCTTTATCTTAACAGGATGTTAACTAAAGCCTACTGACACCTTACATGTCATTAACTATTTCATTGCTGATCATTTTATCAGATGGAACAGACATCAGAATGGGAGTGAAACCTATGGTTGAGAACTGCTGGAGGAAAGGAAATGCAGAGGCAAAAATGGAGGGGAGACAGAAAAAAAATGAAAGGAGGATGGAGAAGAGAGGAACATTAGGAGTCCTGCCATTTCTGCCTTTAGGTCAGAATGTGTTTTCCACCAAAAGACAATGTGACTTTTTTTCATTATTAGGTTATTTACTATCTTTAGGCCATGTTCTATCCTGCATCTCCCTGCAAACATCCCATTGATGTCAGTGGGAGACTTGTTGTGGACTGAAGGTAGGACATATTCCTGAACTGTGTGCCCCAAATTCACAGTCAATAGTTAAAAATGGAATTTTCCAAAACTGAACTGCACAAGCCTGTGTGGTTTTCACTATCAGGGCACCAGCATGTTTCTCTTGCTTCATTTTAGCCATTAATGAAGAGTTCAGAACTAACTGACAACTTACATTTTTTATTTTAAAATCGATACATTGGCGGTTTTTCAAACCAATAAGACACTCAGTTTAGGAAGCAGGAATTTGAAACCTATACTGAAGAGAAGTGGAGAAACCAGAATGCTAAATTACCAGTGCCAAGATATAATAGCAATTAGAGATGGAAAGAGACCCATTAGATCAGTGGTGGGCAACCTCCGGCCTGTCAGGGTAATCCGCTGGTGGGCCGCAAGACAGTTTGTTTACATTGACCGTCCGCAGGCACGGCCGGCCCCAGCTTCCAGTGGCCGCGGTTCGCCGTTCCCCCATCCTACCCAGGGATTTGTAGACAGTTTGTCCCTACATTAGCTGTCACTTAGACAACCTATAATTGCACTTTGCTGATCTTTCCACAAGTCAATACCTCTGGATGTTCCAACGTGCTTCTCATTGCAACTTGGACTAGGGGCTTATTTCTCCTGCTACAAAGAAGTTCTGGATTTAAGGTTTGCCAGTTCTGCTGATGTTTATATTTCAGACAGTATTCGTTCCATTTCACATGCCTTCTGAATTGTGGTTTCTTACAGAACATTCTGACACCATTTCAAACAATTCTAGATCAGTCGTGAACTTTACAAATCACAAGTTTGATGTTTTTTTGTTTTGTTTTTTTGGTGTGTGAATACCTTTTATTTATTTAACATGCTTCAGTTTCTAAGACACAGATGATGGGCAATGTTGTCCTGAGATAAGACCCTATAGGAGGAATCTCACCCCCCACCCCAAACATCTGAACGTTGAACAGGAGCAAAGCACAGGAAATTATTAATATGACTAATATGAAAAAGTTTCAATGTAGTTTTCAGAGTAAAGAGTTTCTACATATGGCCAAACTAAGATCTTGATAAAATGAATTTTTCCTAGTAATTTAATCTTTTAAGGATTTTCTTTTATTTGTTATGGAGTCAATGCCTATCACTGATCGAGGCCATCTATTGTTCAATGCACTCTGACCCAAGTTAAAAAGGAACCCATGCTCAAGGTTGGCACGTGCAAAATTTAGAACCCTATTAAAGTTTTGACATATCTACACATCCTGTCGATGTGGAGAAAAGTAAAGTGTTCACCCTTAAATCAAAGGCTGCAACAGTCCTAAGAGCAACTGTGTTTGTCCTCCTTTGCCCCATTCCCACCCTCCTTACTCTTCTTCAATCCCACCCCTCTCCAGTTGGGAGCTCTGGGGGTCGGAGCCAGATCTGCCTTCTTCAAAGCACTATAAAACGATACATGTCAATGACTGGCTCCATCATGATCACTTCTTTCTTCCTCCTCTTCCTCACCCCTAAAAGACCCCATCCGCGAGACCATGAAAGAGACCTGCATTTACTGATAGGTTTTGTTTTTGGAACAGTTAGGAAGGATGGAGAAAGGCCAAGCCAATTATGCCAAGGTTGACCCCATATCTGGATACTCAGAAGAGAAGGTTCCTCTAGGATTTTTGGGCTTTGATTTTCTTGAACAATGCCATGTCAAATGGACAACTGTGGAAGTTCAAAATCCTGTAATCTAACTGTGTTTTCACATAGGGATTAGATTTACAGGTTTCTTCCCAGCTAATAATTGGGTGACCATCATATGTAAAAAACATACAGTATTGTTATGAACGCTGATAACTTATCTGACCTGCTGTCTCATACTTCCATTTATAACCTTCAGTGTCTCACTTAACTACAATAGAGCAGTGATATCCCCAAAGGGGGACTCAGTTCCTTGGTGACTTCATCCATCCTGTCGTGCAGTACCGATGGGGCTGTTAAACACCCTCCTATTCATTCCAATTTGTTTAATTGGCTCCTCCAGATACACTAGTGTCATTGCTTAGCCAGGGCCAGATCCCGCAAGTACAGAGTGACCACTACTATCACCGAAGTCAATGGGAGAGGAGGCCTTCAGCAGATTGCAGGATGAGGCTTTCAGCGGGTGCTGAGAGCAGAGTGCTGTTACAGGAGACACTTACCTGTCTTTGGAAGCAGAGTGTCACCTGCATGGTCAACTCTTAAGCTGGAATAGCCTCTCTAGTGGAATTATTTCTGAAGTCAATGAAGCATCAGTACCATAAAAGCTCACCCAATACTTTTCCAAACTAATTTTATTTGAAGATCAAACAGAAGTGAAAATTTCTAAATAGAAATCAGGTCTCAGGCTTTTAAATATACTTTTCATTAAACTTACCATGACAGTGCAGTCCTCAGAACCACTGGCAATGACCTGATCATTATGGGGACTCCAGTCTATGTCAAGCACCGGTCCTGTGTGACCACATACTGTTGGGTACGACTTGTCAATTCTGCCTGTCTAAAGGGAGAAAGAGGGAGAGCTGTAATGTGCAGACCAAACCAGGCAAGACACATGGCATTTCACAGGGTAAAAGAACATTTCCCACACTCTACTCCACTATCTCCTCCAAACACAACCATTTCATAAGCCTTGATTGTGTGTGTGTGTGTCTATGACTCTCATGCAGCACTGCCCCAGACACATCAATATCCTGACAATTTCTGACGTTGAGACATGTACATACACAGACCTGCTGCAAACATGGAGGCTTTCTTCTCTCAGCGTCGTGACTGCTTTGCCAGCCCAGCTCCAATGGGTGTTACTGGGAGATACTTCTGGCAAAGGAAGTCAGACCCACAAGTTCTCCTGAATGTGCGGGATTATGGAGTGGTGGCGCCTGCTTAGTTGGGTCCCCCACATAGCAAGGAGAGTATAAAGGTTCTTATTTTGCCACCCTAAATTTGTGTGTGGAGACTGGCAACAGTTACAGATACCCGAGAAAAGAGCGATATCAAAGGGGTGTTCTGGACATTGGAACTTCATCACAGCTTGACTGTTGTCACCTTTCGTGACTTTCGTTTTTGTGGAAAACACGTGACAGCTGTGCAGAGTGTACCCCTCTATTCAGAGAAAAGAAAAGTCAGCCATGCAGACTTCCCATAGATACACCAACCTACCCTCCAGGAGACACCTTTGCCTTCTACTGGAAGGAGTTTATCTACGGTGAGAGTTCTGTCTGCATAGCCCATTCAATCCTTGCCCAAACTGCGGACTGACAAGACCATCAGTTAGTGCCATTTGTGATGCGGATCCCTCTGCACTAGGAACTGGACTGGGACCAAGATTCACTATAAAAATGATTTCCACACTTATCTGCAACAAAAATTATTCACATTTCTATCAAGAGGTTAGCAAATCTCTAGAGCACTTGCCTAAATCAAGCCAATTGTAAGGATAAATCTTACAAGAAAATTAGCTACTGCCTGGTGTTCATCTGAATTTGAGAAGACAGAATTCTAATTTATGGTTCTTTCAATTACTCAAATTGTTCACTGGTACTACAACAAAAGGACCCTGGCAGCTTTGACATCGCTTTATTGTCTGATAATCTTATTACCTACTATTGGTGCAAACAACACTTGAGCTTGCTGTAAGTGAAAATTAAAAAAGGAACATTTTATATTAAGTCATTCTCACCGTTTCTTCTGTTCTTTTGGGTCTTTCACACAAAAACAAAGTAAATCAATATTTTTTAAGATAGGGAAATGTAACTAAAAACTGTAAAGATTGGAAGGAGGCGTTGGACAGGTGCGGTACCTGAAACGGTCTTCAACTCACTCTTTAAAACTGACTAGATTTCAAGCGGACCATGTCCTTTCTTTTTGCAAGGTTACAACCTATAAGAAGGGGGTCAGCGAAGCGCCTGACCAGATTCTAGTTTCTTTACATATAAAAAGCTGCAATTTGAGTCTCAATTCTACTGTTTGGTGGTTTCCTGACCCTGGGGCGTGAGCGGCCTTCACATGACTGTTACTAATTCCCATGGAGCTGATTATTCAATTCAAAGTTCTCTACATCTAAGGATTTACAAAGGGGCTGGACATTAGCTTTCGGGGACTACTGACATTAAGATGTATTTGTCAAGAATAAAACAAGATGTAGATCCTAAGGGCAGGGCTGGCTCTGGCTTTGGCTTTTTTTGCCACCCCAAGCAAAAAATAAATAAATAAAAATAAAAAAACCTGCACGGCAGCCGGAGCAGCGAAGCAAAAAACACCGTGCGGGGCGGCCGGAGCCAGGGTGCAGGGGGACTCCCTGCACTGCAGACGTACCCCGGCTAGCGGAGTGTGTGCCCCGGCTAGCAGGGGAGAGGCGGAGGGAGGAGGGGAGAGAGAGAAGGGGGGCGGCCAGGGCTTCCTTCAGTGGGGCGCTCGCCACGTGGCCCCTCCCGCCGCGCCTCAGGCAGGGAAGGATGCGGGCTGCCCTGCCAGGCTTGCTGCAGACCTGGCACCGGCTGGGGCAGACGGAGCGCGCAGCCCGCTCCCAGCAGGGCGCTCCCCTCCTCCGCGCCGCTGCCCCCTACAGGGCGGCTGGAGCAGCGAACCAAAAAAAAAAAAAAACCTGCGGGGCGGCCGGAGCGGCGAAGCAAAAAAAGCATTGGAGGGAAGCTGCCCCTTAGAATCTGCCGCCCCAAGCACAAGCTTGCTCGGCTGGTGCCTGGAGCTGGCCCTGCCTAAGGGAGTACAAGTCAAGGGAGTTATAAAAACAAGGCACAAGCATTTCCTAAAAAAGTTAAATTCAGGCTCAACAAACAATGGTGTCCTGTCTCAATGCCTCAGTTGCTTCTGAAACCTTTTAAAATTAAAATGTTGTAGACTCAACCAATACAAATAATAAACCAGAAACTCTAAAATGATTAAGAGCTAGAATCTACTTATGCCTTTTTGCATGCAACAAGGTAAAACGTATTAATAGGTTAAAACAATGAACTGATTTAAAATAAATCAACTTTAAAAAAAATCGCAGTCTAATATTTCAAAACTGAGCAGGTTTTAAAAGACAAGCCACAAATTAAATCCAACTAAAGAGCTAAATAAAAGGAATAGATGGGTCATGTAAGGTACTGTCCGCAACATGTAAATGAATAAATGGCTATTCCTAGGAAAGGCTTCTAATTAATTTTCTTAGCAAAAGAGAGCGCTACAATGATTAGTTACAGACTGAGAAAAGTGAGCACTTGCCAGTCTAGATTTGGGTTTTTAACAAACATCATCAAGATTCTTATTGGGAGAAAAATATCAGTTTGAACAAATGAATTAAACTATAGAACTTTTCCTGTCTGTATGATCAAGAAAGAGCCTGAACACCAAGTCTGCAAGCAAACAGGGGAGTGTGTTACAAGCTTATTCTACTAAATGGCTGTACTGCATGCTTCTCATTATCTAGAACGCAGCTCATTTTTGAAACAAGCTATCTTGTAGTACCATTAGCTCAATAAGCTGTTGTCATTTCAGAGTACATTAAAAATGACATGATGGGTCTCCATATTTATCGTCTATCAATGGCTTGTGAATTAAATGTGCTCCATTTACAAATACAGATTTTTTTTTTTTATTCCCAGCCTTGAAAACAAACAACCTGAGCTCGGAGAATCAAAATGGATTCTCTCTTTTTTGGCTACTCATAGCCACAACAGAACTGAAAGCCAAAATAGGCCACTGATTCCTGCCAAACTCCACGGTCTTCAGATCATCATCTCAGCAACACCTGTGCAAACCCATGGTCTTCAGTGAGGATTAAGAGATGGAACTGACTGGTTCTGTAACTGGAACCCAGGAAACAATTCTGTTCAGAACGCACAACGAGGAAAAAAATCCATCTTAACCATGCTGCAGCTAAGAGAATGTAACAAATAAATTGTAGCAAAACTCATTCTTATCACTTAAGTGACTAGATATAACCCAGAATACAGGGGAGTAGCTGTTCTTGGTAAGTGTGACACCACACATAGTGACAAAGTGATTAAGGAGCTACTGTGAGCCAGGCTGACTCTGCCCCTCCAGCCCTGTCAATCATGCAAGGGGCAGAGCCAGGCTGACTCCGCCCCTCCAGCCCTGTCAATCATGCAAGGGGTGCAATAGGGGTTTAAAAGCAGGAAGATCAATTCAAGTCAGTTGGCTCTGGAAGAGCATGGACAGCAGCTCTACAGCTCCCAAGAGGAACCCCTGAAGAGCTTCAGGGAAACTGCCCTCAAGAAGGGCACTCACCAATGCCATGCCCCTACAGGGAGGGGGCAGACTCCAGTCTACCAGCCACACAGATTAGCCCCAGCAAGCCCCACTGCAAGCTGTTTTGCATTTTTATTTGGGCATAAGCTTTCGTGAGTAAAAAAACCCACTTCTTCAGGCGCATCTGGATACAGTGGATCCAGACTAACACGTGGATCCAGACTAACACGGCTACCCATTGATGTTTTGCATTTGGTACTCCAGCCCTCCCTGGGGGTAGTGAATCTGGGGCTCCTCTGAAAGGATGTGGGGGTGAGAGCCAGCAGTCCCCGCCCCCTTAAAATGCAGACAGACTCTCTGGTATAGTTTAGTATTGAGAAGAAAGACCACTGTTCACGCGCACTGTGGGACCCCACTGACTTTGCCAGCCAGAGGCACCCGTCAGCAACCCAAGGACAGTAAGAAAGGGATATTTTTAGTCACTTTTCAGAGTAGAGCTGCACTTTAAGTGTTCGAACTGAGAGGAGAAAATAACTGAGTTATACAGCAAAGAGGTCAGTCAAAAGTCTGCAGAAATGTTACTTTGTTACAGGTGACCAGTAATGTCTCTCTGCGATTTATAATCCACACCCCTTTCCTTTATGGAAGCCGTCAGGGTGATTACTACTACAGCAGAAACACTTATCACTTCAAGCAGGAGAATAAAGATGGAAAAAGCGGAGAGTAGGAAGTAACAAATAAGGGCCGTTCGCCACAAACTGGAGGGGAGAAATGATTACGTATTATTAACAAGTGTGGAGGGAGATGCTGGGAGAGCTCCATGGCAAGTGATGTGCAGTGTTTTTATTTGCAGAAGTGCAGGTGACCAGCATTCCCACAATATAAGCAAGTGACTGCGTACCATGCCACCCATGTATATAACACAGGGCCGCAGGCTTCACACTACACAGTTACATTAGATGTTCTAGCAGACACAAAAGGAAACTTATCTCAGCAGTACAAATGGCCACAGATCACTGATTTTTACATTTAAGGAGAAGACCCTGCTGCTGCCATGAATAACTGAGCCATCACTAGACTGAAAGGATAATACAGTCACTGACTCCGGCCCACACAGAATGCTCTCCCAAAAGCACAAATAAAAATAACTAAGCAAGACAACGTAAATGGACATAATGGTTGACTGAACGAAATACTGCCCTGGTGTCCAACAGTACGGTTAAGATGAAAGAAGAGGTCTGATCACCGGTGGAGGAGTTATTGAATTGTGGTCAGGAACAAGAACAGCAC